CTCTTCAAAGTTATGGTGGTTAGGAAGTCCGTGGTGGTTAGACTACACCCCCTCCCCAAAGGCTGGGGCACAGCTGTTTTCTATGTTTGCCATAGGGCATGTGTGCCCACCAGAGAGAGAGGGGGAAAGTGAGAAAGCAAACCGCCGGGTCTAGGACTCGAACCATGGTTGAGTGTGTGGGAATCCATCACATCACCTCCTGGCCCTAAGCGTGTTTGTTTGTTTGTTTGTTTGTTTTTTAAAGATTAAGACTTAAAATTAAATCTGTCAATCTTTGTGAAAAGATAAGTTTAGGGGCCAGCAGATGGTGAGATGGTTACATCACTGGACTCCCACATGGCTGATCACAGTTTGAGTCCCGGACCTGGCAACTTGAAACTCACGCTGGGTGCATTTGTGTGCATGCCCCAAATCCCGAGAGGACAATGGAGGAGAAGAGATTGTGGCCATTACCCCCTTGGGTTGATTTCTTGTTTTCTGTCTCTCTTTGTCTCTCTGTCTCTCCAGTGAGCACATGTACCCTATAGCAAAAATCTCTCTTAAAAAAAAAAGAAAAAAAGATGGGACCAGCAGTTAGCATAATGGCTATGTCGCTGAACTCCCATGTAGTTGACCGCAGTTCAAGCCCCGGACCTGGTGGCTTAAACTCATGCTGGGAGCATGTGCATGCGTGCCCAACGTCCCGAGAGGAGAATGGAGGAGAGGGGATTGCGGCGTGACCATCCCCCCTGGGGGGTGATTTCTCACTTTCTGTCTCTCTGTCTCTTTCTTTCTGGCAAGCACACACGCCCTATAGCAAAAACCTTTCCAAAAAAAAAAAAAAGAAAAGATGAGAAGCCTCTAGGAGGTATAAAATTTATGGGGCTGGCCCCTGCACAGTGGTTAGGAAGCCAGTTCCTATCTGGCTGACCAGGGTTAGGTCCTACCTTCTTCAGCCTGAACGTCACCCATGTGCCCAAGATCCTGACGGAGTGGAGAATTGGAGGAACAAGGATTGGGATGTGCCAAGCCCCAGTGGGGGAGGCTTTCTCTCTCTCTCTCTTTCTCTCTTGTGCATGCATATACCTTCTGGCATTTAAAAAAAAAAAGTTTAAAATAAATGAGCAAAGTGTGCCCTGAGGAGCACAGAGGTTCAGGCAGGCCGTGTGGCTTCTTCTCTGAGGGGCTGGGCCCACCTGCATCCATGGGTCTGTATCCCGTGGGGTGGCTTGCCCCTACCCTTCATCCGGGATGGACCTGCTGAAAGGGGAGCAGCAGTAGCTGGGGACCTCCCAAGGCTGATACGGGGGAGCTAGTGGTAGGAGCCGGACGTGGACCCCAGGCTCAGCCGGCTTGTACTTGCAGGCTTTGGTGACCGATTACTGAGTGAGGTGAAGAAGCTTGCCCCAAAGGATGTCAAAATCAAGGTGCGTATGGAGAGTCCTCGTGGGTGTTTGGGTCCAGGCCACCTTGTCTGGGGAGGACGGGCACGTGCCACCTGCAGGCACCTCTCACCTCCACATCCATCCAGTCCCACTCCTCCCAGCTGATGCCCTTGTGTGGCCTCGGGCCCTGAGGGAGATGCCCCCAAGGCCGGGAGGGTGGCTGCTGTGGAGACCAGGCAGTGACATGGCTGCTTGCTCTTTCCAGATCTCAGCCCCGCAGGAACGGCTGTACTCCACATGGATCGGGTGAGGCGGGGCTCAAGGGGAGGGCCCCGGGAGGAGACCATTTTGCCCCGGACTCTGCTCCCTGGGTTGTCCAGGCAGTGGAGGTGGGTGGATTTCTCTCCCAGGTAGAGAAATGGATCTCAGCGCCGAGGGAGGGCAGTTGACAGTTCACAGGTCCAGAAGGACCCTATCCCTCCATCCTCACAGGGGCTCCATCTTGGCCTCGCTGGATACTTTTAAGAAGATGTGGGTATCCAAAAAGGAGTATGAAGAGGATGGTGCCCGTGCTATTCATCGCAAAACCTTCTAGTGCCCTGGGAGCGTGGAGCGTGTTGGGCGAGCAGGAGGAAGGGAGCCCAGAGCCCTTTTTGGTCCTTTTTGGTCTGGGCTCACATACTAGGCTTAGGGTCCCCTGCATGCCCTGAACCCCAGGTGGGTGGTACAGCAGTGCTCCCCTGCAGCCCTCCCCGCCACACACACACACACATACACACACACACACACAGGAACATTGAGCTGCATGGATGGGAGTCTTGAGCCAGAGCACAGGAATTGAGGGGCCCAGCATTGGGTTGTCTGGGCGTCCTCTTAGCAGGGCCAAAGCCTGTGGTTCCTTGCTCTGACTCCCCCAGGGCCAGAGTGCCGGGGTGCCTGTGTAAGTAGCCTTGAGCAGGGCGAGGGTGGCCAGCAGCTCCTGCCAGTGCGTCATTGCGTCTCACGCCACCGCCTCTCCGCAACCCAGCAGGACAGCTGGGCCCTCTGCACTCTGCCCTCATCTTCCTGGGCAGATCACTGGTGCAGGGCTGAGTACCAGGCTGGCTTCCACCCCAGGGAGAGAGGGTGACCCAGGTGGCCCTTCAGAGCCAGGACCCGGTACACAGTGGGGACAGTGTCACACTCTCCCTTCAAAGCACTTCATTGACTTGCTGCTCCCCCCTCTTACCCCCAGCACCCTGAAGGGAAAGGCTTAATGGTCTTCACTTGTTGGGGGAAGCCAGTTAATCAGGACTCTGACCTGGGGGCGTTGTTTCCTTCTCTCATCTCCCCAAGGGAGGAGGTCTTTGCGTTTCCCTGTGGCCAGGGTCCCACCTCCCTCTCCCAGATATGTACAATAATTTAACACAGTTGCCTGAAAGAAAACTTTTTGTAAATCATTATAGTAATAATTATGGACAAGGCCCAGTGTGTGGCTCTGTTTTCTCATGGTTCTTTGTGCTGCTGTTTGCTCATCCATCCCTGGGGACTTTCCGAGAAGGGACCCGAGAGAAGGCAGCGTGGCACTGGCTCTAGCTGAGCTGCATGAGGGTGTCTGGTTGGCAGGGCAGCAGGGCGCCAGAGGTCCCCAGAGGCCCAGCTCTCAGTCCATCAGGGGAAGCAGAGAAAAGGCTGTCCTCATCGCCTTGTTCCTGGACAGCTGTACCCGCGTCATCCCCCGTCCGGGCACCTCTGTGCCTGCTTGGACAGGACGGAGGCTGGCCCACACTAGCAGGGGTGCACACTCGTCAGCTTGGATGAGGGATGGAGAGGGAGGCAGAGAGGCTGTGAGGTGAGGCCAAGAAGCACTGAGGAAAGACGGAAGGGCGGTGGAAGCAGAGGGGGAGAGAGCTGGGTCTGGGGGGTCTGCTCTAACCTTGATCGAGGGTTGGAGCACACATAGCGAGTCAGGAGGAGTGCCATGTGTTTGAGGCCAACGACACAAGAAGGGACTTCAAAAGGAGCATGGGAAAATAAAATTAAATTATAAGTTTGCTTTGGCGTAAAAATAATTTGAAATCCATGGAGGGCCAGCGTGGTGTGGTGGGTAAGGCACCCGACTCACACAAGGCTGGCCACGGTTCTGGTCCCGGATGCCGTGGCTTGAGAATCACTTTGGGCGAGTGCATGTGCATGCCCAAAACTCGAGAGCAGAGTGGAAGAGAAGGGATCATGCATGGCCATCCCCTCTGGGGCCAATTTCTCACTTTCCCTCTCTCTATCTCTTTCTGGTGAGCATAAGCACCATTGGTAAAAACATTTTTAAAAATTTAAATCCACGTGTATTACTCATAATATGCTTTTTCCATAAACATTTTGAAGCTCTCTTCTGGCCTTGCCCCAAGAAGCGTCCAGGTCAGGGAGGAAGGCAGACAGGCCATGTCAGCACAGAGGCGTGGGGGCCAAGAGAATGACAGCTAATCCATCAGGTGGGGCAGGCAAGTGCGAGCCCTGGAGGGTTAGCCACGCAGGGAGAGGTGCTCCTATAGAGGTGAGAGGGGGCGGGGGCAGGGGGTAGGAGAAGGGGGAACCTGATGGTGGATCAGCGGGAGGTCATAGAGCAAAACAAACCAAAAAGGCAGGTTGGGTAGACAAGTGGAGGGCCCTGAGTGGGTTGTGGCTGGGTCCCGTGGCAGGGAGGCGCCCCTGGAGGGAGGAGA